CATGCCTACAGGGAGTTCGCCTACATGAACTCCACTCACCAACGAATGATAGCTCACACGTTGGAGGGGCCCATCAGCCGACCCCGTCTGTTTTCCAAGCTCCCCTGCAAGCTCATCTGAGCATTCATACAGCTCTTGAGCTCGCCCGTAGATTTGCCAACCTCGCCTGAGTAATGCAAATGGGCTACTTGCTTGTGGGAGTGGGCCTACCCACTTCCCACGTCCTGGGTAATGATGAGGTATGGCTCTCATCACCCCTATAGTGGTCACATCCCACAACTAGGGGAGGGCATGGTGCTCCTCACCCACTAGTGATGAGGTATGGCTCTCATCACCCCTATAGTGGTCACATCCCACAGCTAGGAGAGGGCATGGTGCTCCTCACCCACTAGTGAACACATCCCACAGCTAGGGGAGGGCATGATGCTCCTCACCCACTAGTGGTCAAATCTCACAAATCAAGGGATGACACATGCCATCCCTTACCTATTTAAAGCCACCTTTAGTCAACGTAAAAGGAGCTGGGCAAATCATTCAAGAGGCTAGGATTTTTTTTACTCTTAGGATTAGTTTTTGGGCTTGGCTTGACATTTTTATTCTAAAGACTCTTAAAACAGAGGCCTTCATTTGCCTTGCTTGGTAGAACCTTCCTATCTCCTCGCTTGGATTGTTGAAGTAGACTCAATCTGAACCCTCAGATTTGAGGCTCATCAGCTCTCTACAAACCCTTGCATTGTAGCTCTCTCCAAGCTCGCGGCCTTGATACCTTTTCAAGCTCGGGTATAGTTGAACTCAATCACTCCGGAGTCTCTGCTGCGCACTGAAGCTCCAACCGCAACTTCGATCAGATCGTCCAAGGGAAGCAAACTCGACGCGAGCACTGAGGGAGGCATCTTACCGCTGCCAATGAGCCCACGTTAAAATAAGGAGGATCATTCCCTTCTCCTCTATTGCAAACATTGATCATTAGTTTGTAATAAGTCATTCTTATAAACACAAACGACCCCTCAAATGAGAAGTCAATTTTTACGCCCAACAAGGCAGCTGTAGACTATACTCCAAGTGATCAAGATGCAACAGCACTCGATTCTCGCTGTGGCTATACACCGGCTCGCCTCTGTCTGGCATCGCTAGTGTGAAAGTCTTGGAAATATCGTAGAGATGATAAAGTTGCATTAGATCATCCATATAGATCCTCGAGCCAATGATCCAAAGAAGAGAGATCTTCTCCTCATTACGCCCAGTGGTTGTAACTTGAGAAGCCATTGAAAGTTTTTTAGCTTTAAGGTCTAAAGAAACACCGAAGATTTTGAGTGAGAGTTCGTAAAGAAATCTTCTCAGCCCATAGAGAGCTATTTATAGTTTCTTGGAGAGACACATGGATTGATCCATGAGGATGTAGTGTTTCGAAATAAACGAAAGAGATCCACCTCGGAATCTCAAATAGTTCACTCGAAACATGAAGTGCCACCCCTTTATTACTCCATGCCTCGGAGTCTCAAACGATTCACACAAAAATCGAATCGCATGATGCTTCCATTTCTAAAATTTAATCTTGACTGTTAATCAGAAATTAAATATGGTAGTTCAAATTCATGATCACATCAGCCAAGAAAAGCGGAGCCATGGTAGTTAAAGGAAAATCCTCGATGACGTCAGCCACGTCAGTTGAAAGAAATTTTTTAGTTTCTCAACCTCAGTAAACTCACACTGACCCAAAGTCCATCTCATTTTACTCAGACCCGGCTCAAGCCGACTTCAAGCAAAAGGGGCCAACTGTTATTGTGATCCCATTCTATAAAATATGGTTCATTACCAAATGATGGATTTGTAAAAGCTCAATATATGCCCAATCAATTTGGTGACCCAAGCCTAACAAGAAGTCCGACCCGGCCGACTAAACGAGCTGATGTTTCTTCATGCCGACTCGAAAGGTGATACCTGTCGACCCTCTTGTCGAAGGCGACTTGCCAAGAGTCCACTCGACCAATCGTCCAACACCTCTCTAGGACAATTCCGAAAGACATTGCTTCTCGGTGAAGCTATAGGGTATCTTCTATGATGGAGCTTATCAATATTAACAACATATCCACATCAAACCTGCAAATGGATCAAGCATCACACACCTCGGGGCTCATTAGCCCACATCAATTTTTAGCCCACGTGGGCACTGACATGCCGTCGATCACTCCCAAATCAAGGCCAAAGTGGTCTATCTCCCAGTCACCAGCTGACACTCATCAAGCAAAGACCATCCCAGCGACTGGTCCACACTTGGCCATCGCCCTATTGTGCTAGGCCGAAGTGACCAGCCTACCCTCATACCCCCAAGTATAAATACAGGTGCTATTCTACCTTACACCCGGGGGGCTTTTCTTTTGTAGATATATTGTCCAAAAATAAGCATTGAGGGTTCTTTCTTTACCCAACTCAAGAACCAGACACAAAGTCGGGGAAGAAAGCGGTCCTCTTAACCCCTTTGCAACTACAACCCCGTCCGAACACAGACACAACTAACTGTGTGATCATCGCCATCAACATGTGTGTGTGTGTGTGTGTGTGTAGGGTTTAGTGGCTTTTGAGCTTGGTGCAATTTACATGCTTTCAATGCCTCTTTAGTTTTGTAATTGATTTACCTAATAACTCTAGTTAATAGTCCAACATACACTTTTAGTTATAAACTCTTGGTTTGTCTTTTAATTTCTTCATTAATTGAGAAAAGAAATGGGTCTCTACATCCTCTCCACCTCAAATAAAATTTCATCCTCGAAACTTTACGTACATTGGTTCTTAAAAGGTTGAGGATACTTCTGTCACATCTCCTCTTCAAGCTTCTAAGTTGCTTCTCTATCAGAGTGATTCTTCCATTGAACCTTCACGTATCAAATAGTATGTTGCCTAAGCACTTGTTCCTTTGATCTAAAATGCATTTTGGTTTCTCCTCGCATATCAAGTCTTCCTTCAGTTTAATTGGTTCCAATTCTATAACTTGATCTGGACCTTGATTGAATTTTTTAGCATAGATACATGAAACAAATTGTGGACTCTAGCCAAAGAAGGTGGTAAAGCAAGCCTATAAGGAACTTCACTAACACACTGAAGAATTTTAAACAGCCCCACAAATCTTGGACTCACCTTTCCTCAGATTCTAAATCTCTTCACACATCTTCTAGGAGATACCTTTAAAAATACATGATCACTTTCTTAAAATTCTAAGTCTCTCTTCCCGCGATCAGCATTAATCTTCTGTCTATTTTGTGTATTTTAAATACGCTCTCTTACCAAGTTAATCTTGTTTATATCTTGTTGCACTAACTCGGGTCCAAAATGTTTTCTTTTTCTAAGATCACCCTAGTGTATAGGTGAACGACACTTCTTGTATGGAGCTGCATATGGTGACATTTTAATGCTTGATTTATAACCATTATTATATGCAAACTCTGTCAATGGCAAATACTTCTCCCTTGATCCTTTCAAATCAAGGATACAACATCATAACATATCCGCAAGAGATTGAATTGTTCTCTCTGATTGACCATTTGTTTATGGATGATATGCTGAGCTAAAATAGAATTTACACTGAAGGACTTTGTGCACACCTTACCAAAACTTAGGTACGAATTCTAAGATCCCTATCGGATACTATCTCCACTGGTACGTCATGAAGTCTAACTATTTTAGCAATATACAACTTCACAAGCTTCTTTAAGGAAAACTTCATATTGATTGGCATGAAGTGAGCTGACTTAGTTAGATTATTCACTATGACCACTATAGCATTATTTCCTCATGTGGGTCTTGATAACGCTGTGACAAAATCCATTGTAATTTTTTTTCCCACTTCTACATCGGTTTGTCGAGATTTTGAGTTAATCCTACTGGTCTCTGATGCTCTGCTATTACTTGCTGACATATATCACACTCTGAGACATTTGCTACACTACTGGAAACAGGACTTTTAGCGACGGACAAATCCGTCGCTAAAAGTTCAAAATCCGTCGCTAAAACTTTTAGCGACGAAAAAAATAAAATTCCGTCGCTAAAATACCGACACTACATTGAGGGTCCCTAATATGACTATTAGCGACGGATAATCCGTCGCTAAATATTAGCGACGGGACATTAGCGACGGATTTTCCGTCGTACTTTTTTTTAAATTTAAAAAAAAATCTTTAGCGACGGATTTTCCGTCGCTAAAGATGTCTTTAGCAACGGATTTTCTGTCACTAAAGATATTTTAGCGACGGAAAATCCGTCCCTAAAAAGTGACCAGTATCTTTTTAAAAAATATTTTGAAATTTGAAAATACCCTGTACAAAAACATAATAATCCCTGTTCAATCAGTAATACCACACATGTATAACACATATTTCAATAAAAATAAATAAAAATACCCTGACATAATACATATTGTTTATACAACTATTGTCTTTAAAGTTAAATTATTACAAATCATTCATCGCCATCATCCTCATCACCAGCTCCACCATGACTACCCCCAGCTCCACCATGTCTAGAAGTGCCGGTCTGTAAATATAATGAAATACCCAACATTACAATAGTATAAATAACAGGAAACTATCATTAACAATTTTATAGATAAGTAAATTTTAAAGTTTCTGATCCTCATTTAAAATACATGGTGAACATCAAAAATATAAACACGTTCAACAATATTTATCAAAAATAATAGGGAGGAAGTAAAATACATGGTGAACATCAAAAATATAAACACGTTCAACAATATTTATCAAAAATAATAGGGAGGAAGGAGAACATGAAATGTCATTAGGCAAGAACCAGCATTAGGCAACCACGAGTGTTGTATAAGTGGCCTATGAGACCATATAAGCTCTATGAGAAACTAGTTTGTGACAAGTTAACATTTCACCTTATATCACCAGACAAAAGCATGTCTTTTGAGAGCATATAATACAATAAGACATATCTTTAGAGGGCATATAATAAATAAATACAAACATCGAAGTAAAACAGTATACCCATATGCAAAAGGAGCATAAAATGGAGGTGGCATGTAAGGCCTTCGTGATCGAAAGCCCATATATGGGCTTGCTCGACGACCCCGGTACTGTTTCATTCCTGGTACATTGGTCCTTTTAGCTGACACCTGCACCACAACCAAATCAGTTGGATGTTTACATTGTAAAGTTTAACCTAATCAAATTGATGCAAACCTTTAGCTGACGACCATGCAATTCCGATTCATTCAACAGCAGAACATTCTGAACAGCCTCTACTTCAACAAATTCCACATATGTAAATCCCTTGGGCTGACCAAACTTGTCTGTTAAAATTGTTACTCTGTTTACAGTCCCACAAGACTGAAAATGTTGTTGCACTTCCTCAGGAGTGCAGGCATAGTCCACCTAACAATCGGTATGAGAAGTATAATTCATAATACTCATAAGATTGATTAAAATAAAAGGGATACTACCAAAAAGAAAGAAAATTTGCTTCACTAGTTAAGACTGTTCTACTGCTAACATTTCACTAAGATGCATGCTACCAAATACCTCCATCTGTCATCTTACATCTTCAAAAGAATATGAGCAATAAGCAGTGCATCCATTAAAAATGGGATGTGACTACGAAACTGTATACTGGTAGTCACAATATAACAAGAACGTCAACTTATCCAGCACTAAGCAATCAAAAATTTACATATTCTTTCCTTATACCGATCATGTAATACATAAATTTCAAATAAGACTTCTTGCTAGATAAATGTAGGAGTGAAGTAAGAGATGCAAGCATTACTGTAAACTGCAAAACACTGAAAAGAGAGGATGGCTTGAAGAACCTCACATTACCAACATAGATCGATCTCGAATCCACCTCCTCCTTTTCAGCTTGGCTTGCAGCACCACTAGATGAATCTTCTGGAAAGAGTGAAAGCCAAAGAAATTGTTAAACCAAGGAGCAAACATAATCTTCCAATAAGAGACTGTAAGGCACACACACAATAGAAAAAAGCACGCACAATGACTGTAAGTAATACAAGAACTGAACTACAGGGCAGCTTTCTCGAAAACATAGTGTACCGAAACCCTAATTCCCGAACAAAGCGGCTCCAGCAAAAACCCTAGAAAACGAGAAACAGAGGGAGGGGAAAACCAAACCTTGAACAGAGACATCTCCTTCTCGACCTTAGCATGCATCTCTCGCGCAGGGCTCCAGCTTCCTCCTCGATCTCCTCAACCTCTGCTTGATCACCTCCAAGTTCTACTCCAACAAGATACCATCTTCAGTCTTTCTAACTAAAGAAATCAAAATCTAGGGTTTCGGGGCTACCTCTTTAGAGGATTGGGGATCTTGGTCATCGGCATCGCGGCGGCCATCTCGTCGTCTGTCTCCATCTCCCCTTCTTCTTTCTTCTTCGGAGAGCGAAGGATGGGCGAGGTGCGGTGACGCGAGGAGGAGGAGGACTCGAGGGCGGCGACGCGGCGGGCGAGGAGCAGAGGATGGAGGGAGTGGAGAATAGGAGAGGGGCGGCGACGCAGCGGGTGACGGATTGGCGGCGGTTGTGGTGCCGACGAAGAGAAAGGGGAGGGAGAGAGGGGGGAATGAGGAGAGGGGGGAAATGAGATAAGGATTTGGGGGAAATCCCTCTGTCGGGCGCGGGATGCCCAATTTTTTTGGGCAAGCCCGCGCCCAAAATTTTTCTTTTTCTTTTATTTTTTAGCGACGGAATTTCCGTCGCCAAAAGTTGTTTTAGCTACGGAATTTTCGTCGCTAAAAGTAGTTTTAGCTATAGAATTTCCGTCGCTAAAATTTGTTTATTAGCAACGGAATTTCCGTCGCCAATAATAACAATTCCATCGGTATAAGTGTATTGCCGACGGAACTATAGCGACGGAAATTTCCATCGCTATAAGTGGCCTTATAGCGACGGAAATTTTCGTCGCTATAGTTCCGTAGTTAATACTCATATTTCTAGTAGTGCTAATATCCCTCTTCATATTATTCCAGCAATATATCTTGTTCAAATCTTTGTACATTTTTGTTCCACCAGGATGCATTGTATATCCAGAATAATGAGCCTCCTTCAAAATCCTTTTTTTCAATTCTAAACTATTTGGAAACAAAGTCGATTCCCAAACCTAAGGGATCTATCACCATGTATTACAAAACCTTGTTGAATACCATCCTCGACCCCTTTCCTAATGGCTTTCACTTTAGAGTCATCTTTTTGGATAATATTAATCTCATCAATCAGAGCAGGTACTAGTCATTTTCTCTTGCAATTGGTATAGAGAGAATAGATGCATATACTAGTCATTTTCTCCTGCAATTGGTATAGTGAGAATAGATGCAGGTACTAGTCGTTTTCTTTAACTCTTGAAAACTCCTTTTGCATTCTTCAAACCAAACAAATTTGATTCGCTTCTGAGTCAATCGGGTACAAGGTGAGGCTATATGAGAGAAACCCTCTATGAATCTTTGATAAAAACCCGCCATGCCAAGAAAATTGTGGATCTCATGAACATTTCTTGGTCTTTTTCAACTCACAATTGCTTTAATTTTTGCTGGACCTCATGATACCATTTGTCACACCCCGGGCGTGCGAGCCCGTTGTCACGATGTAAGTCCTAGGATCCACGAAATGCAACACGTGGTTTGGCTCAATCCACTGCCAAAATTGGCTGGCTAATGTTGCACATGGCTCTCAATCATTTAAACCCTCTTAAACTCTATCGATTTTTTATATGGGATTATTAGTGGGGCATCACAATCACCCTACCTTTTAATGCGCGATATCCTTTTAGCATATATAGATTGCATAAGCCACTTTTTCTTCGTCAGGATACTTCATATAAGTAAAGACTTTTTTTTATATCTGTGATCCAGTCTTCAACTACCATAGTATAAACACTTCCTTTGAAGGTAAGCAATGTTAACCTCCTAAACTCCGTCATACCGCTTTGCAATTGAGGATGATCATTGTCTCGAGATTCTTGCTTTTAGTTAATTTATTGTTGTTGATTTTGCGTCACAATAGTGAGATTTTGCATCATCTGCAACATAGCAGTTGCATCCATTTGATTTCCTCCAGAACTAGATCCGAATGCATTTCTACCACCAAACATTTGCCTCAAGGTCTGGTGCAAATCACCTTCTCGGGTTGAAGGAGTGCTCATGTTGCTCCTATATAAAGCAAACAAACAATATATCAATAATCACAAGTAACTCTAAAACTTTTTTCTAAACACCACTAACTATAAGCTTTCAAGCCTAGGACTTCCAAACTTAAGCTCTAATACCATAACTTGTTATGCCCCGAAAACACATAGCACATTTTGGGATGCATGACAACATCTCAAATATTGGTGGCTTAAATAGGTAAGCCTAAGACTCAAATGAATCATCATCTAGTCAATTTTGGTTGTGAATTGAGTAAAACAATGTGTTACACTCGGTGGGTCTCACGACTTGCACTGCGCGAACAGCCCATGATACCGGGGCGTAACAATAAGTATAGATTATCAATTATTCTTCTACCATTTAGTTCTCTAGTTTATTATTCTAAGTATAATCATTTTTAGCATAAAGAGAGCAATCTGTAAACCATAAAAGTAATTAAACTAGTTTCATATAATCCTAGATCTCCTAACAATTTAGTTATACATATTAGGAAAAAAGAAAATAAGGCATAACAGAAAGACAAGAAAATAGAAAATAAGCAAGAAAAAGAACAACAAAAGCAATAAAAGAGCAAAAATATGTAAATCTACTCTACAAAGCATGAAATAAATCTACACTACAAGCATAAAATAAATTTAATCCACCAAACTTAATGATAATAATATAAAATCATAATTCATGCAATTTAAAAAAAAAGAAATATAAAAAGATAAAATAAAAACTTAAATGCCAAGTGGTTGTTGGCCCCTTGTGAAGCAAATCTTCTCGTTCACTTCATCATCATAAAAAGGGAGCAATGAAAATAAAAGAAGAGGAAATAAATTTTTAGTTATTGCAAAGAAAAGTTTATAATTTTGGAAAGTTTCTTAATTAAGAGTACCCTCCTCTCAAAATGGAGATTTTATAAAAAAAAATCACTTGTACCCCTATTTATAGACTTTTGCAATCAACATGAGTCATCGGATTAGCCTTGAGCCCCATTAAGTAAACCTCAGCTATTAATTGATTCTATTACGAATTAATTAATTGGCCTATTGGTTGGCTAATTGATTAGCCAATTGATTGATTAATTTATTGTTTCCTAACATAATTTGATTATTTATTGACTTGTTGACCTGAATTTTTTAATCTCTTGGGCTTTTGTGAGCTCCTCTTAGCTTGATCTTGGGCTTCAATAAATGGTAGAAAATTAAGAAAATTTAGTTCTATTGGGCTTTTATTTATTAATTCTCTAGTACCTGCAAATTAAGATAAAAATAATTATTAATTAATATATTTATTCAAATAAAATAGATAGGATGATATAAAAGTTTAATAAAACATGATGATCATATCCCTAGCCCTAGCTAGTGACCAATTCCTCAATTTAACCCTAGCTTGACTACGCCATAAGCCCTCAATCTACTCCAGCTCGAGTACGTCGTAAAAATAAAATTAATTGAATAAAATAAATAATAATTAAGCGCAATTAGAAAAATATTACAATCCTTTGATTGTGCAAATTATTCTACTAGTGATTGAAGCGAAGCTTTGAGAAGAATGGTGAGGATGCTAAAGTCTAAAGGTAGCACTACTCGAAGGTTAATAATCGAATGATGAAGAACGATGTTGAGTATGCTTTTTAAGAAGCCTAAGCGAGATCCTTTCTTCTGGATTAAAATCCTCCCTCTCTCTCTCTCTCTCTCTCTCTATCTCTCTCCCTCTCTCTCTCTCTCTCTCTCTCTCTCTCTCTCTCTCTCTCTCTCTCTCTCTCTCTCTTAGTTCAGAAATATCTGACGAAAAACATGAGGATAGAGCCTATATACACCTAACAATAGTCGGTTAAGATTAAATCTAAAAACAGATCAGAAATCTAAAATTAGTAATTTAACCATTCATGGTTGAACTTAACCATCAATGGTTACTGTTAACCATCGATGATTACTGTTCATCGTCGATGATCCGAACTTCTTTGGATTTTGCTTCATCAATGGTTACTAGTGCCATCAATAGTCTATTTATCAGACCGAGAGCTTTATAAAAAGCTATTATAATAGTGATCCCTTTAATTGAGTCAAAAGTTATGGCTCGTGTAAGTTTTAGTCCCGGTGTAGGCTTCGAATCTGCTACTGGTTATTTCGACGTTATTTAACTAAAATATTCACATCTCAAACTATATATATCTGAATTGAGTTTTGTTTTTCATGTGGATTCATGACAACGACACAAACACTACCATATGCTCAAACATAATTTTAAATTTTGATATTTTTTTCAGAATTAGCTGTGATTAACTTGTTATCTTACTCTTTCTAATATCAAACTTGATTCTAACTTCTTATAACCTGTATACAATATTTCAAACATATATTAGACCAATATGAAGATTTTTTATTTATCAATAAAACTGATTGTATTGACATGCTCCAAATGGAATTAAGCCCCCAAATTACAGAAGTTATTACATTGAAGCTCAGCTTATGCAAATGATGATGGGAAATAATGATTGAAAATAGAGATTGAGGGAAACCTCAGATCATGCAAATGGGGTGGGGGGTAATATAATTTGATTTTTAGATGGCCAAAATAGCAAATTAGTATTAAAAATCGTACCTAATGACTAAATTTGTATTAAAATTAACTATGGTGTTAACTAAATATTTGAACTTGTATGGTAGGATAAATAGGCCCAAAAATACTTTTCCCTCCTAATTTCCTGGCAAGCACTCATGTGATTTGTCAATTAATGCTTAAGTGACATATTTATGACGGCATGACGGTGGTAGTTAGTCGATCATTTGATCTGTTAGAAAAGGGAATTTCAAATTATGGTAAAAAAAAGATCATTGTTGGTTTTAAATAGCTTAGAGGACTTATTTAAATCTCCTTTTAGCAAGCTATCTTAGTGGACGGATAATTTGGATGATGGATATCAAAACACCCTCCAAATAATAATAGTCTTCATGGATTTAAGCTTTTCCGACAAATATGTTCAGAATTTTGGCAATCACGTAAGTCGCAGGCTCCATAAAAATAGAATGCTAAAAAACACTTTAGTTAGGGGTTTAAGGCCATTAAGGGGTTATCAGTGAACCCTCTTAACTTTAAGATTTTATGATAAAACCTACTAATAACATAAACCACATTTTTATCAACAAATTTATCCCTACATAATTCTTCCACCCATGTGAAATTTGAGGTTAACGTTGTATGGGGGTTTTCTAATATTTTGAAAGTTATGGAAGGTTAATTTTCTAATATTTAGCCTTTAAATATCAAAAACGCCTCTTAACATTACCTGATTACCAAATAACCTTTCATAAGTTTTAATATATCAGAAAACCCTATTTAACTATAAGGTTTTATTAAAGAAACATTAATAGCATTAATCATACTTTTCCAAATGGGTAAGAAGAATCTTACATGATGATGTTTTTTCAAGTGAAAGTTATGGTTTATGTTTTTTCAAGTAAAATTATGGTTTACACTTCAAGAAGGCTATTTTGATTAAATCTTAACATTAAAAGAGGTTTTCTGATATCCTATAAACTTAAGGGTTTTTTTGATATTTTGAAATTTATGAGAGGTTATTTGATAATTGTCCAAAATTAAAAAAAAAAGGTTTTCCGGTATTAAGCCCATAAAATTTGGAGTCATTATCCAGATGAAACTGCATAGCATTTGACGTGTAATATTAAATAAGATATTGTCATGATAGATATCTAAGATGAGCGAAGATGAGTCAACTGTGCTAATTGGCAATTAATTAATTCCTATTTATGCATTACTTTAACTAAATCCGGGAGCCATCAGGTTTAAGCTTCAATCTTCTTGTTCACCATTAGCTTAAAAAATTCATGGTAAATTTAAAAAAAGCCTCCAAACTTTGAAATGTTTTGCACAAAACCCTCACAAAATATTTAAATTCCAAGGAAATCATGCTCCCTATAGACTATAGTGTAGTTTTTACAAAATCGTTCTGAACTTTAGAAAATAATTATTAATGGATCTAAAGGGTAAAAGTTAAGGAAAAATTGTGTCAAGGCCCCAAAAGCAATATTTTCATATGTTGCAGCCCCAAAAAGTGTCACATCATGTGCTGCAGCCTTCTTTTAACAATTATTACCCGCTAACTAAGCATAGAGAGAGGATAAAAAAATAAAACCTTCAAAATGCCCTTAGCTCCTCTATTCTTTCATGTTAGATCTAATGAGAGTTCATGTTAGGTCTAATTTCAAGTTATGTCTAATAATAGTTCATGTTAGGTCTAATTTTAGTTCATGTTAAGTCTAGTTCATGTTAGGTCTAATTTCAGTTCATGTTAAGTCTAATAATAGTTCATGTTAAGTCTAATTTTTCAGTTAATATTAGGTCTAATTTTAATTAGTTTATATTATGTCTAATAATAGTTCATGTTAGGTCTAATTTTTTAATTTCGGTTTATGTTAGGTCTAATTTTTTAATTTTGGTTCATATTAGGTCTAATAATAGTTCATGGTAGGTCTAATTTATGTTCATGTTACGTCTAATAATAGTTCATATTAGGTCTAATTTCAGTTCATGTTAAGTCTAATAATAGTTCATGTTAAGTCTAATTTTAGTTTATGTTATGTCTAATAATAGTTCATGTTAGTTAAGTCTAATAATAGTTCATGTTAAGTCTAATTTTAGTTTATGTTATGTCTAATAATAGTTCATGTTAGGTCTAATAATAGTTCACGTTAGGTCTAATTTCAGTCCATGTTAAGTCTAATAATAGTTCATGTTAAGTCTAATTTCAGTTGATGTTATGTCTAATATTAGTTTATGTTAAGTCTAATAATAGTTCATGTTAAGTCTAATTTCAGTTCATGTTAAGTCTAATAATAGTTTATGTTAGGTCTAATAATAATTCATGTTAAGTCTAATTTTAGTTCATGTAAGTCTAATAATAATTTATGTTAGGTCTTATAATAGTTCGTTTAAGTCTAATAATAGTTCATGTTAAGTAAATAAAATATTAAAAATTAGACTTAGCATGAAGTAAGCTTAGGCTTAAAAGGAATTTAATATGAATTAAATTGGTCCTAACATGAACTGCTATTAGACTTAACATGAACTGAATTTAGACTTAACACGAATCGAGTTGGACTTAACATGAAATTAGACCTAACATGAACTGTTATTAGACTTAACACTGAAATTAGACGTAACATGAAATTAGATGTAATATGAAATTAGACCTAACATGAACTATTATTAGACTTAACATAAACTATTATTAGATCTAACATGAACTATTATCGGACTTAACATGAAATTAGACCTAACATGAACTATTATTAGGCTTAACATGAACTATTATTAGGCATAACATGAACTAAAATTAGACCTAACATGAACTATTATTCGGCTTAACATGAACTATTATTAGGCATAACATGAACTAAAATTAGACTTAACATGAACTATTATTCGACTTAACATGAACTATTATTAGACTTAACATGAACTATTATTAGACCTAATATGAACTATTATTAGACCTAATATGAACTGAAATTAGACCTAACTTGAACTATTATTAGGCTTAACATGAACTAAAATTAGACCTAACATGAACTATTATTAGACTTAGCATGAACTGAAATTAGACCTAACATGAACTATTATTAGACCTAACATGAACTGAAATTAGACCTAACTGTTGGCCTTCTTGTTTTGATGATGTTTAACAAACAATTTACCACTAATGTTGTTTGTCTAGTGTCTGTGCATTCCTATGTATTGTAGACAAACAACGTTGTTGGAGGATGGATGGAATAGAGCTTCAATGATCATATCCAAAGGAGGTTGGCGGAATGTCAGTGAAGCCTTGCAATTCAAAGTTAAAGATCAAGTTCAAGCTTCATCCGCATGTATACCAAGTTGAGCTACAATGAAGATCAAGATCAAACTTGGATAAATTTAGTATAGGTTTATATTATGTGTGTTTAATACTTTAAGCTCAATATCATATACACACACAATATTGGATTTTCTCACAAAATGAGCTATTTTGAGAAAACTTTATGATATTGTTTTATTGACCATGTTTACTTTATATTCATGTGTTATAATGTTTATGAAACATTTCATAAAGTTTCAATATGCGTTTAAACTCTTTTTGTCAAAAACAAGTTCTTAACAAATTCATATTCATGCATGTTTTTACAAAATAATGAGTTTTCACAATTGAGAAATGAAAATTGAGAAATTATTTTTCTAACATGTTTGTCTTCATGTTTATAAACATTTCGCAAAGTTTCATCAAGTTTGGAATTGATTTGTTATGTTTAATGGAATTTACAAAATCATGTTTTTCATTCGTGCATGTTTTACAAAACAGATGAGTTTTCATAAATGGGAAGTGGTATTTAAGAAATTCTTTCTTTGACATGTTTATCTACATGTTTAGAAACTTCTCTCAAAATTTTACTATTTTTGGAGTTGATTTACTGTGCCCAATTGATTTTACAAAATCGTGTATGTCAGCAGTTTTTCAGAAACTGTAAATTTGTGTTCAAATATTTATTTCTCTCAACTGGGAAACGATTTTTCAAAAAGTCTTTCTCTGACATGTTATTGTACATGTCTAGAACATTCCTACAAAATTTCATAATTGTTGGAGTTTATTTACTATTTTAAATTGATTTTACAAAACAGCTACACACTGCTACAGTAACTCCGGTCGACCGGGCATGTCTCTGGACGCGGTTACTGTAGCATAACGGCTATATTTTCTAAATTTTGATATATCCATTTTTTTGTCTTTTTGCTTGGTTTTTTTGGGTTTTTGGGCTTGTTTCATGAGCCTATATATACTCCATGTCCTCATACTTCTAAGGGTACTCAAGAAATGTTTTAAACAAGTTTAAAGAGTTTAAAACAAGGGTTTAAGTGTGTTTTAGTGTTTGTTTGGTTTGAAGATTGTTTTCACAAGTGGAGGAGATCATCTTCTTGTTTGGGCTCCAATCTCCATCTCTCCATCTTGTCATCTATTGGAGAAGTTTTCTAAACTCTATCTAGCTTTACATTTGCTTAGTTATTTGATTATCATTCTTTAAAGCTAGTTTTTATATTGAGTTTAGATTTGATTATATTATCTCATTGTTACACACACCCACTTGAGCTTATTGTATTTGCATACATAGTATATTAGGGTTGTGAGAGATTGTAACATTGAGTTTGTGCTTAATTGAGTTCTCATCTATTGTAGAGAACAAATTTATATTTGTTACATTGTGAGTGGTATAAAGTTTTCGGTGAGCTAGAAAACCGAGTGTGTTGTGAAGTTTTCGGTGAACTAGAAAACCGAGTGTGAGGAGTGACGTTGTTCGGTGAGCGTTGAAAACCGACACTGTGAGGTGTAAACGTTATTTGGGTGAACGTAGAAAACCCGGTTGTGATAGTGGATTTCTCCCCGGGAGTGGGGAGCGGAGACGTAGGACGGAAGGTCCGAACTCCGTGATCATATTGTGTGTTTGAATGTGCTTTGGCGTTTATTTATATTTGTGCTCATTGCTCATATCGCCATTATCTCATTATTCATATCATCCTCTATCTTGTTTCATATTGTTTACTCTTGTGTTAGTTTATATATCCTTGCATATATATTTTATCATATAGGATATATCTCATTGTTTATATTGCTTATCCTAGCTCATATATCTTATGGTATTTCATACTTGCTAGGATAACTTATTAATTAATTTTAATTGGTATTTAAATCAGATTAGATTAGCATAAGACCCTAATCACCCCCCTCTAGGGTCTAACACTAACATGAACTATTATTAGACTTAACATGAACTGAAATTAGATCTGACATGAACTATTATTAGACCTAACATGAAATTTGACCTAACATGAACTCTCATTAGACCTAACTGTAAAAGAATAGAGGAGGTAATGGTATTTTGGGGTTTTGTACTTTTATACTCTCTCTGTGCTTAGTTGGCGAGTAATAATTGCTAAAAGAGGGCTGCAGCACATGATGCGACAGTTCTTGGGGCTGACCCACATGGGAAAAAAGTGAAGGGGCTACAGCACATGAAGATATTGCTTTTAAAGTATTGACACAATTTTACCAAAAGTTAAACAACATTTTTCATGCTTAAACAACTACAATTTCACGATAACCCACAAATCTTGCAAAAACGTTTCATAGCATATGGACATAAATAGTAATCAAACATCAAGCCTATCATCAAGCTTTATTCCTTAACATATATAGTACTTAACGATTATTTAATAAAGGTTAGTGAATTTTTTGAACTCACCAAAGCTTTAGGAGGTTTTGTCTTATTTTTTATTTCTATATTTTTTATTTGGATCCAGTGCCGGCCCTAGCTTAAGGCAATTAAGATATTTTCCTTAGGCCTCAGCTTGGGTATAGGCCACCTATGACCCACCCACAACTTGTAGTTATAGTCCTCATAGGCCCTTGTGAAAGGTTGCGAGCACGCTTGCTGGTTTGTTTTACGACTTCCTTTATTTATTTTGCGTTGTTTTTTTGATCTGTTTTAGTAAAGATTAAATCTGTGTGCTTATTGTGGATTCACAGATATTAGGGTTGGTTATGCATTCTTGTTTTGGGGTGAGGAAAGGGGTATTGATAATTTGGAGGTGATTTGAGTGTTGGGTTTAGCTGGGTGGTCTATATTATCATAATGGATTGTTGCAAATGGGTTCCAAATGGGTTCTTGAAAGTAATATTAATGCATGTATGCGTCGTTGGTTTTATGGCGTTTTGTATTGTTTGGAAAATGTAAATTTCAATGTCTAGTTATGATGCGGAGAAAATGATGTTGATTAACTTGAAGGTTTGAGGTTTAGGTAGTTTAGGGTCTAGATTATGATCATGGGTTCATGCAAATATGTTTTCGGAAGTAGAGTGTATAGTTTAGTTTATTTGATCATATTTAGTTGTTTCTATTCAAATTTATAACCTGATTTGTTTCTATTTCAAATTTATAACTTGAATTATTTCTATTCAAATTTTAAAAGTAGAGATTAATAGTCCAATTGAAGTGTTGAACTATATATATAAAGTGGTTAGCTTCTTGTCTAAATACTTATATTGCATATCGTGTATTATTGACTATACTCGTAACAGTTGCTTCCGCTGAAAGAAGTTTTTCAAAATTAAAATTACTAAAATCTTATTTAAGACCGACCATGTTAACAAGATAGATTGAATGGTTTAACAATATTATCTATCGAAAATAATATGTTAGAAAATATTAAATATAAAACTTTAATTAGTAATTTTGCAGCTCAAAAGGTAAGAAGAATGAGATAAAATCTATTATGAGTTGTATCATTTGGGTCTCATCTAATATTTCGCCTTGGGCCTCAAAATTCCTAGGTACGGTCCTGTTTGGATCAAGGAGGTTTTATAGACGTTAAGAATTTTAGAAAAAGTTAGCGAATCCTCTAAAATTCAAAGAGAGCCAAGAATTTAATTTATTTTTGGTAATTACGAATAAACTCTTTTAGTATCACACAATTGCGAATAGACTCTCTATAATTCTATTTGGGCGAATAGACCTCCTAAATGAATTGTTTTTTTATGCTTAAGTCACCAAAAAGGTTGTGAGGAGACAGATTTACCCTTGTGGTATGGATATGCCCTCTATTTCCTTTTTTTTTTACTTTAAAAGAGTGGAAAAAGTTCCTTAAGAGAGCATACTTGCACTTGTGCTAGTAATACAAGGGTGCATTCACATAAGGGCCTGTTCGTTTGTTTTCAAAAAAGCAAGAAATGGAAATGGAAATGGTGGAAATCTCAAAATAATCCATTTCTTTCATTTCCATCCCTAAAACTCACCCACAACATCCAATAAAATATTATTTTCATCCAACAACTCATCAACATCATCTAATAAAATATTATTTTCATCTAACCACTCATCCACCACATCTAATAAAATATTATTTTCATCTAACAACTCATCCATCACATCTAATAAAATATTATTTTCATCCAAACATCACTCAACTCATCTCTTTTTATTATTTCAAATCACTCACATCATCGAATAAAATATTATAACAATTCACCTCATCTCATTAACATTTTATTTCTTCCATTTCATCCCAAAAAGTTGTGAAAACACATTTCTTAATCTTTCTTCACATCAACCAATAATACAATGACAACTCATCTCATCTCATTTCATTTCTTATTTTTAAGAATGAACCGAACAAAAGAAAACAAGAAAACTACAGGAAATAGGTTTCTTATAATTCATTTCCTTATTTTTTTTCGCCAACCGAACAACATCAAAACTAGTTTTCTTAAAAAATCACTCACATCATCCAATAATAATGTGACAACTCATCTCATCTCATCTTCATTTCTTTGATTTTTTTTTTTTAGCCAACCGAACACTCCAAAACAATTCTTCATTTTCCATTTCTTTGATTTCCCATTTTTTTTAAGGCAAACGAACAGGCCCTAAAAGAAAAAATCATAATCATCCACTAAATAATCAATAGTTGTGATTATGTAGTGGCCATTCCACTATTTTTTTGTAGTGAAGAGGATCCAAATCCTTTTTTACCTTTTCTTTTAGAGTGTGATTATATCAAGTCATTCATGAGAAGGACATGTGCCATAAATGAAAATTCAGTTGCTTTCTTTATGATTCAAAACAATATTCTCTTATCTATTGTGGGTGATTCGGACAGTCAAGAGATCCGATATGACTTTCATAGTCTTGAGTTTAGATTCTGGGCTGGGGTAAAAAGAAAAACAATTTGCTCTTATGCATGATTTCCTACATGTTTATATGGCGGTAATACATTAGAATAATATGACATGTGGAAGAAAGAATCAACTAATAAAACAGAGATGTCAAACAACAACTTAATAAGTTTTGCCGATCAACGTGCTCATCTATGTCATTGGAGTATTGCCGGATCATTTTTGCATCCTTAATCAGTAAGGGTTACACTCAATCAGAGCCGACCTTAAAGCTAGCACCACCAGGGCTACAGCCCGGGGCCCACAGCTAAGGGGGCATAATATATTTTTTAAGCCTATGTATATATGTGTGTATAAAAAAAATAAAACAGAAGAAGCATGTACCAGTCGTTGGAAAATGGAAAGAGAAGCCAATCAGCCTTTATTACTCAAATCTCAATTTTTAAGGAGGGGGTAGCTGTCATTGAAAAGGAAAGTTCCTTTAATTATAGAATATAATATAAAGCAAATCATTAAATCAACAAATATGGAGGATAAAAAGCTCTCAGCCACGGTTTAAAAAAAAAAACAGCTTAGCCACAAAAAATTGAAAAGCCCTCCGACCTTCTTTCTTAGTTCATACACGTAAGCAAATTTTTTTAGTGATTCTCCTCTTCTCAATACATATCACGCAAGCGACTTTCTGTGAAGGTACTTTTTTTAAAGATAACATATAGAATTTAGATGTATAATTTTTGTAAATTGTAATACATATATTTTTAACTTTTTTATTTATTATTTGATTCAACAGAAACATTGGCTGAGATTCTTGATCTTTATAATTGGAAGTTTCAAGTGGAAGAACATATGCTCAAAATCCAGGTTTTATTGTTCTTTGTTCTTTGTTAAGTGTTTATTATAAAAATTAAAAAATGTTTCCTAAGAAACAACTTTCCGGAAATCTCAAGAGACAAAAAAAAAGAAAAAAATGATGAAATTGCTCAAAGTTTAAGAGGATCTTTGAATAAATATTTTGTTAAACAAACCAATGCTTCACTTGAAAATTTAGATGAAGATGATTTACCAAATGAATATGAACACCCAATATTGGAAGAATTAGTAGAAAATGAGAATGATGTGAATGAAGAAATTGGTGATCTAGATGAAAATGAAAATAGTGATGAACCTTTCCTTGATGAAAATGAAAATATTGATGAACCTTGCCATGAAAATGAATGTCCCGAAACAAGATTTGATTTGAACATTTATGATCCACGAGTTTGGGATAATCTTGATGCAAAAATGAGAGATTTACTTGTAGAAAAAGGTCCCCTAAGAGAAACTAATCTCAAATTCCCTATGGACGAACACAATAGACATTTTTCTTCAAATTATTATCTTCGTACGTTACCAAATGGGGAAACTAAGGATCGAAAATGGCTAGTGTACTCAAAGGAGTTGGATAAAGTGTTTTGTTTCTGTTGTAAGTTGTTTAAAACAATGAATTCTAGAAGTCAGTTAACTAGTGAAGGAATTAGAGATTGGAAACATCTTGGTGAGAAGCTTAGACAACATGAAAGCAGTATTGAACACCTCACTAACTTGAGGTCTTGTGTTGAATTGCAAATCAGATTGAAAACAAATCAAACAATTGATACAGAATTACAAGAGCTAATCAAGAAAGACACTACACTGGAAAAATGTTATTGTCAGAATCATTGCTGTTGTGAAATGTCTTGCTACACATAATTTGGCTTTTCGTGGAACAAATGAAAAAATTTATGAAGATGGTAATGGTAACTTTTTAGGCCTGCTTGAAATGATTGCAGAGTTTGATCCAGTAATGCAACACCATTTTCGACTCATTCAAGATAAGAAGATTCATTATCATTATCTTAGCCATAAAATTCAAAATGAGTTGATAGCTATTTTAGCATCAAATGTTAAACATGCAATCATTGAAAAAATAAAAACAGCTAAATATTTTTCTGTCATTCTTGATTGTACTCCTGATGCAAGTCACAAAGAACAAATGACTTTAATATTGAGGTGTGTAGATGTTTCAAGTACTCCAATAAATATAGAAGAGTACTTTTTAGAGTTTCTGAATGTGGAAGATACATCTGGATTAGGACTTTTTAATGAATTGCAAAATGTAATTGAGTCCCTTACACTTAATATTGATGATGTGAGGGGACAAGGTTATGATAATGGCTCTAATATGAAAGGAAAAAATCTAGGTGTACAAAAAAGATTACTTGATATAAATCCTAGAGCATTTTACATGCCATGTGGTTCTCATTGTCTCAACTTAATAGTTTGTAATATGGCCAACTCATGTGTTAAAGCAAAATCTTTTTTTGGAGCATGTCAATGCATATATACGGTATTCTCTAATTCAACAAAGCGATGGAATGTGTTACTTGATTACATAGATGGTTTGACTTTAAAATCATTGTTAACTACACGTTAGGAAAGTCACATTGAAAGTGTCAAAGCAATAAAATCTCAAGCTTCCCAAATTAGAGAAGCTTTATTTAAATTAACAGAAATTAGTGAAGATGCCAAATTGAGTAGGGATGCTCAAAGTTTAGCATCAGGAGAGCTTTCAAGTTTTGAATTTATATTAAGTTTGGTTATTTGGCATGACATTTTGCATAAGATTAACTTAGTTAGTAAAAAGTTACAATCTGAAGACATGCGTCATGATGCTGCTGTAAGACAATTAGAAGGACTTGTGTTATTTTTTGAAAACTATAGAATAAATGGGTTTGTTTCTGCCATGATTGATGCTAAACAAATTTCCCTTGATATGGGAATTGAACCCATATTTCCAAAAAAACGTCAAGTTTGTAGAAAAAGGCATTTTGATGAGGTTTCCAATAGTGATAGGGAACAACAATCAGCTGAAGAATCATTTAGAACTGATTATTTTCTTGTTATAGTGGATATTGCTCTTGGTGAATTGAAGAGTAGGTTTGAACAATTGCATTGTTTTGAATCTATTTTTGGGTTCTTATTTGATGCTGCAAAATTGACTTCGCTTGATGATAATGAATTAAAAAGTTTTTGTGTGAATCTTGAAAATGCTTTAAAACATGGTGATGTTTCCGATGTTGATGCAAGAGACTTATTTTCAGAATTACAGGTGTTGCAAGTGATGTTACCAAAAGAAGCATATGAAACAGATAAACCATGGACATCCATTAAAATTCTTGAGTTTGTAAAGAGTGTGGATATGTTTCCTAATGTAATGGTTGCTTATAGGATATTATTGACTATACCTGTGACTGTGGCATCTGCTGAAAGAAGTTTTTCTAAATTAAAATTATTGAAATCTTACTTGCGGACCACCATGACTCAAGATAGGCTAAATGGATTAGCGATATTATGCATTGAAAAGGATATGTTAGAGAACATTAAATATGATAGTATAATTGATGATTTTGCATCTAAAAGTGCAACAAGAAGACATTTTAAATGATGTTTTTGTAGTTGAGATTTCATTGCTATTTTTATTTTGTAGGTACATGTGATGATTCTTTGCTTCGATTAATTATGGATGATGAAAAAAAGATTGATCAAATCAAAGAAATGCTTATGGAGATTTGGGAGGAAGCATGTAGACTCGAGTATGTAGTTTTTGTTTTTTAATGCAATGTTTACAATCCGGGGGTACTCTTTTTCCTTCTTTTAATGCAATGAAAAGAAGATTGTCTTTTGTAAAATCTTATAATTTTAATAAAGTTAATTAGTTAATAATTTATTTATTTGTTTGTTTAATTTGTATAAATGGGGCACACAGAGAAAATTTGCCCTGGGCCTTAGAAAACCCAGGACCGGCTCTGTTGGTTATAAATACAATATGAATGTGATTGTCGTCAAAATTTATGATACGTACATGTTTTCTTTGAAATAAGTTACGATTCAAACATATGGATGTAACTTTCTATTACTTCAAAGGTAAATAAAGAATTTACATATAATTGACTTAAAATTGAAGAATCATGAATTCGAAGCATTGTTATAAGACAATAGTATAATTTATTTACAGTAGTGGAACTCTAGAGTTGAATTTATCTTATAACAATCTATGGTCTATAGGCCTGTCCATCCGGCCCGGCCCGGCCCGGAAATCCGGGCCCGGGCCGGGCAAAACCGGCCGGGCCGGGTCCGGGCCCGGGCCCAGGCCCGACCGGGCCGGGTTCCGGGTTGGCCCGGGTGATTTTCTTTTTTTTTTTAATTTTTTTTTCTAATTTTTTTATGTTATTTAAATTATAAATTATAAAAAAGATAAGAAAAATAATAAAAACAATAATTTTATTAATTACTTAAAATGGCATAAATTACAAATAAAAAATAATAAAAACAAATTCTTTATTAATAATTAATAAATCATTTACAAATTACAAGTACAAATTTATTTTGGAATTAATCGCATCACAATAGATAAGTAAATCCCAACTAGGTTGGCACCTACTCACCTATATCACTATCATTTGCAATTATTTCCAAAATAATTCTTTACAAATTGTAAGCTAAGATATAAAAACTACAATCTATTCTTTATATCTATCTGCTAGTCCCAATTCTTCAAATTTATCTTCAATTCCAGCCATCCGATCGATGCCTTGCGTTCGCTTCTCGTACCTCCACCAATCTTGTAGGCACATCACCGCTTGTACAGTATACGGATCCAAGCATGTCCTATGATCGTCGATCAAACGACCTGCTGTGCTGAAGGCGGATTCCGAAGCTACCGTCGAAACCTGCACTGTTAGTAAGTCACGAACCATGGTGGAAAGTATAGGATATGAAACTGATCCATATACTTTCCACCATTGCAAAATATCTAAAGCATTTCCTTGACATCTAACTAAAGAAGCAGAAAAATATTCATCTATTTCAGAAACCTCCGATGATGACGATCCAAGTCCAGATCCACCAGTTAGCTCGGCTACCATTGCATACCTATCAAAACTTACACTTTTACCTCGGGCTCGGGATGAGCTCGAAGAAACCGAAGCTGCAGACTGTTGTGCAGCTACACCATGTCTAGCTGCATACTCATCATATAAAGTTTGAAAATAATTTCTAATAAGTAAATGATGAGTAGTAGCATTCAGGGTGGTTCCATCATCTAAGTCTATAACCTGTCCACCATACAATGACTGTAACAAACTTCGAAGGCCAATATCCTTCAAGCATGGATCAATAAGAACCCCCAAACCAAAAATATGAGGAATAGGCCTAAAATACTTATTAAATTTGCTCTCCATTTCAAAAACCATAGGTCCAAAAGTAGCATCCAAACGATATTTATCAAAAAAATTTTGAATATTTAAAATTTGTAAAGCAGCTAAAGTAATGGTTGGATAATAACAGCCAGATAATAACATGGTAGCATCATAAAAAACTTGTAACATTTCATTTAAATTACATATAACTGTCCATTCATCTTCAGTTATTCCATAAGTGCTACCAGAACTAGAACTAGAAGCATAATAGTTTATAAAATCAGTTATAATGTCTTTATATTCTATTGCTACACTTAACATTGCATATGTGGAATTCCACCTATGGTCAACATCTTTTGGAATTAGTCTAGGCTTTACATTTTTTCTTTTACAAAATTGTTTCCATCTTTTAAGTCTTTGTTCAGAAGCACTATGCATGTAAGCAACTGTTCTAACCTTTTCTATCATGGGTTTAATTTCAGTAAATGCACTTTGAACAATTAAATTTAAAATATGACAGATGCACCTAATATGAAAAAGATCACCATGACATGGCAATGATAAAGATGATCTGATAAAATCAACAGCTACATTGTTATTACTTGCATTATCTAGTGAAAGAGAAAATATTCTTTGTGAAATTTCTAATTTCATAAGTTCTTCAATTATTAAATTTGCAACATTAGCACCAGTATGTGACTCTTCTATTGCAATAAAAGAAACAACTCTTTTAAACATTTGCCAATTTTCATCAATCCAGTGTGCTGTGATACATAAATATCCAGTTTGTGCTCTAGATGTCCAAATATCAGAAGTTAAAGAAAATTTACAGTTTAAATTTTTAAAATAAGAAATTATTTTTTCTTGTTCTTGCTGATAATATTTTAAAATATCACGTTGACAGGTTTGACGAGAAAATTTTTTAAATGCAGGATAAAAACCATCTCTAAACATATCTTCAAATTCTAAGAAAATAGATGAGATGAGATGAGTTGTCATTATATTATTGGATGATGTGACTCACACTTAAGGAAATCGATTTCCTAGTTTTTAAGGGCCTGTTCGTTTGTTTTCAAAAAAGCAAGAAATGGAAATGGAAATGGTGGAAATCTCAAAATAATCCATTTCTTTCATTTCCATCCCTAAAACTCACCCACAACATCCAATAAAATATTATTTTCATCCAACAACTCATCAACATCATCTAATAAAATATTATTTTCATCTAACCACTCATCCACCACATCTAATAAAATATTATTTTCATCTAACAACTCATCCATCACATCTAATAAAATATTATTTTCATCCAAACATCACTCAACTCATCTCTTTTTATTATTTCAAATCACTCACATCATCGAATAAAATATTATAACAATTCACCTCATCTCATTAACATTTTATTTCTTCCATTTCATCCCAAAAAGTTGTGAAAACACATTTCTTAATCTTTCTTCACATCAACCAATAATACAATGACAACTCATCTCATCTCATTTCATTTCTTATTTTTAAGAATGAACCGAACAAAAGAAAACAAGAAAACTACAGGAAATAGGTTTCTTATAATTCATTTCCTTATTTTTTTTCGCCAACCGAACAACATCAAAACTAGTTTTCTTAAAAAATCACTCACATCATCCAATAATAATGTGACAACTCATCTCATCTCATCTTCATTTCTTTGATTTTTTTTTTTTAGCCAACCGAACACTCCAAAACAATTCTTCATTTTCCATTTCTTTGATTTCCCATTTTTTTTAAGGCAAACGAACAGGCCCTAAATATAACTATATGAGGGTCCCATCGCAATTAGATGATACGACGTGGAGCTATTGGCACCCATTCATTTTTCTTCCGCGGCTGCAGGTTCAACGAAGCATGTGCACATCCACTAAATCAATACAAAATATTCATCACGTGCTAAACCTCGTGACAAAAAAAATTAGAAAGAGTAAATTGGAAAAATTACCAGAGCGGAGGACTGGACTCGGTGCGCAAATTAGCCTACAGCCTACCGCCAGAGGTCCCTGCACAACCAAACCAGGTCATTTACTGCCCCCATCGTGACGATAAACAATCAGAGATCTCGCAAGTTTATTTGCATCACCAGACCATTTTATTTTCTTAAAGGTTCGTTTAGATATTAGGGCCTGATTGGTTATTTCCTAAAAAACTAAAAAATAGAAATGAAAACTGAGAAATCTTAAAAAGTACAATTTCACACATTTTCATCCCTAAAACTCACCCACAACATCTAATAAAATATTATTTTTATCCAACAACCCATCCATCACATCTAATAAAATATTATTTTCATCCAACAACTCATCCATCACATCCACCACATCTAATAAAATATTATTTTCATCAACAACATCACTTAACTCATCTCATCTCATATTTAAAAATTACTCACATCATCTAATAAGATTGTGACAACTCATCTCATCTCATTAACATTTCATTTATTTGTTTTCCTCCCAAAAAGCTAGGAAAATAATTTTCTTAAGTGTGGGTCACATCATCCAATAATATAATGACAACCCATCTCATCTCATCTATTTTCTTATTTTTAAGAAATAACCAAACAAAAAAAAACAACCTAATACAAGAAATAGGTTTCTTATAATTCATTTCCTTATTTTTCCCGCCAACCAAACAACATCAAAACAAGTTTTCTTAAAAAGGTGACAACTCATCTCATCTCATCTCCATTTCTTTGATTTCCTTCTTTTTTTAGCCAACCAAACAATCTCTTTGATTTCCTTCTTTTTTTAGCCAACCAAACAATCCCAAAACCTATTTTTCTTAGAAATAGGTTTCATTTTCTTTGATTTCTTTTTAGCCAACCAAACAATCCCAAAACCTATTTTTCTTAGAAATAGGTTTCATTTTCTTTGATTTCCCTTTTTTTTTTTAGGCAAACAAATAGCCCCTTAGTCTACTTATATTTTTAATAACTTCATATTAGTCCATTAAATCTTAAAATTGCATATTAAACCCTCAAATTTTGTAGGGTCTTACAAAATCATCCTTCAAGTTAAATCACGTTAGATTTGACAGGAGCATTCCATTTAAATCTAAGAGTTGAAGGCAAAATGACCATTTGTCTCCTCTACTATGTTCTCGAACCTACTTCATAGGGGGTTTAAACCCAATACCTGCTTAAAAATATTGAAACACACTTGATTTCTTCTAAAATAGTTAGAAAAGAATCATCATCCAAATTTGAGCTTCACAAACATTTGAAATATCAAAGAGATGGGTAATTTAGTTGTTGCAAATGTTGGGTTAGGAGGTGATCCAACCGCGATTAGCTTTTTAAACTTAAATACTAATGGAGCTTGTGCCAGCTGGCATCACGTGATGGGACAACATAAGGACGTGAAGCAGGGAGACACACCGGCGGAGGACCGGATCTCTCTCGTTATATTTGTTGGCAATTTAAGCGCCACTGGAAGCAAAAGAAAGAGAGAGAGAGAGAGGCGGAAAGAACGAAGAAGGAAAAGAGAAGGGGGGGCTTCAGTCTATTGATCTTTAAAGGAGAAGATGGTGATGTTGTTGAACCAGTATCTCTTCGGAGGGATCGTGGCTTCGATTCTAGGGTTCCTTCTCCTCTCGCAATTCTTCCGCAGAGGAAAGAAGAACAAGGTCAATAATGAGGAGAAGATGGCTGGCGAGGTTGTTGAGATGACGTCATCACGAGACGGGGATTGTGGGTCCCGCGACGGGCCTGACGTTGTTGTCGTCGGCGCCGGAGTCGCCGGATCGGCCCTTGCCTATGCGCTTGGAAAGGTTTAATCTTTTTCCTCAAATCTCATCATGAGCTTGGAATTTCGGAATAGGGAATGCGTCTTTAGTTTCTGTTTAATTGGTTAGATGTGTGTAATTTTTTCCCCTATATATGCCTCTCAATTCGTAGATATTTTTATAATAGTTAATTCACTTAATTGCACATATATCCCTTATCACTGTTTTGAACTTTCTAATAGGAAGTAAGTTTGGATACGAAGGCTAGTAGGGGATTTTGGCAATTTTGGGAGATGAATCCCAGACATGGCTAATTTATCAGTCGATATGTTGGCTGATATGTCTTTTTGTATGGATTGTCACAAAAAAAAAATAGTTATACCCTAGAAATTACCAAGACCTATAAGAACGACCACATGATAACTAATTGGCCGACTCCCAAAGCAACCGCAAGCGCAACCCAGGTGAAAGGGCAACAACAATTTTACAGAAGGCGCTAGGCGGACTAGGCGTTTGAGCCTGTGCCTAGCACCTATATGTCTAGGGGGCGCCTAGGCGTTTGTTTATCTTTTAAATTATTTAATTATAATAATTAATAAAAATATGTATTAAATTCATATAAATTTACAAAAAATAGATAACAATCTTTTATCCACAATAAACCATGCATACTTAAATACTAAATAACTAACAAGGTTATAGAAAGCGCTAAGAGGCCTAGGAGTTGGACCCGACACCTAGAGCCTAAGAGTTTTATTTTTTATTTTTTTAATACAATAATTGATAGTGAATGTCAATATTATAGAAAGTTTAGGTGCTGGACTGTTTTCTAGACGTATTTCTTTCTTTATTTAAGTGGTGGTCAAGGAGATATTGTTGATGGTCGGAGGAGGTAGTGGATGTGTTCATATTTGGAGGTTAAAGGAGTTTGAATGAACTTAGAGGACGTGGAGGTTGCAACACAGAAAATCATGATCAATGTCTAAATGGTGTAGTCTACATAAGTAAATAATGCTCCTCTAAACACTCCCAAATCTAGGTGGACGGCCTAGGTACCGTCTAGGCGCTAGTTAGGCGACCTAGGTATTGCTAAGACGGAGGCTTTTTTAAAACAGTGGGCCAGCCGACTCGCCTCGCGATCCAGATCCGAGATGCTTCTGACCTGGATCCCTCTGGATGTCTAACTCCGAAACAAAAGGCGTTCTCCACTTGGATTCGACACAATGTGTCTTGAATAGTGGAATGGCCTGACAAGCGTCATCAAAATCATGCTGCATTTATGTATGTACAGTAAGCGTCCGCACTTCGTCGCCATCACACAATTAATGTGATGTTAGTCATTATGACCTTTCGAGCCAGAGCCTTCAAAGCTCCTAGAATACACCATTACTCTAACAGTCCCATCATCGTGCGAAGGCGACTTGGCCAATCAGCTGCCGACATGTGTAAAGTAGGTCTGAACCAACACTGCACACTCTCGGCTGAAATTATCTACGTGACCCTTAAAATCTCTATAAGTAATGGTGATTTCTATGAAACCAAGATACACAATTTTACACATAAAAAATCAACAAGACTATACTTTGTTTTTTTTCAGATTAATTAGAAACAGTCATGAGCGTTGAAATTAGAAACAGTCATGAGCGTTGAAGGGCACACCGGAGGAAACAATCTCCGATGCCTCTAACCTCTATTATCTATTGTAGCGCCCCTCATGGAGGTATATAAAAATTTGGGTATGACCTGTCTGTAATAAGAAGGATCGATCTGCTTAATTTTTATGTACATCATAACATATATATACTGAAGGGCGAAAAATAAAATAGTGGTGATGTATATGCAATGCTCATGATCACGAGGTTGAGAGCAGAGTCCATAGAATACCAGAGTAAAAAAACTAAAGGGAACAATAAAATATTACAATAATGGTAATAGCTACAAACATTAGTACATATTTGATAAGTCAAAAGTACTACAAAAGTGAATATAAATTTACTCCTACTAAGATTTTCCTCCTAGAGCTAATCTTCAACTTCAGGGTCTGTAATCCCCTTATCCTTGTTGATTTTATGACTCACGAATAGATATAGAAACAATAGGGGTGAGCTTAAGGCTCAATAAGTAACCATAAAAATCTCGGGTACAACATAATGGGATGAATAATAACGATAGTCATAGATAATTGAACTTGAACATAGTGATCTCAATATTAAGTTACCATACTTATATCATGATCATTGATCAAAATGAAATAACATGTCAATATGAATAATCAATGTCTAATATTCAGGATTCTAAACTCCTCAATCATGGATAATTAATAAATCACACATGTCTTTATACACCCACCGGTGAGCGTCCTCACACAGGGTATTATCCCCATCGGGACCCATTACTATTACCAACCACCGGTGAAACTTATTTTATACATGACATAATCCATGAATATAGACTATTAATCATCAATAAAGAAAGGACTACTATCATTATCAATAGTCGAATCATCGAAGCAAGTCGAATTGCTGCAATATAATCATTCAAGGATATCAAATGTATAAAATTGAAATAAACATTATTAGGATAGCAATGGTTAAGCAATCGACAAAGAGTCCACGCATGAAGTGAATCAAGTAGGAATATTACGAAAGTGATGAGATATACAACTTAGCATGGAAAACTAACTTGCAAGAATTTCAAGAAGTAATTAATCGGATTCTCAAAGACTTAAGAGAAGACAATGAACAGTTACCTACCGATTATGCCGGGATCCTCTCGGCCAACGAATGAATCCAAGATTCTGTCCTACATACACATACATATATACCCACATGAGATTCTAAACGCTATGTCTTTTATAATTTTTCTGACTTAAAATTTATATCATGGTATAAGCTACACTCTAGATGATTATATCCAATATCTCTAATATGCACAGCAGCACAAGTAGTGTACATGCAGCAGTTTGGGGTGAATGGATGGTAGGGCAATTGATATCAAAAATACATGAAACTAATTCCAAATGACTCTAATATGAGTCTACTTTCAGAATATAAAACATTTACATCAATGCATGGTGTATAGTAAGGGTTATGCTCTCAGCAAACTACACCTATCAGAACTACAGCAAAAAAACAGAGATTGCTATCTGGAATAAATTATTCATTTTGGACAGTTAACACTACACAAATAAACTTATATTTGGTATATAAGTAATATGATGGATTAGCTTCCAAATCCCATGAGTTTCATCAAACTTTTATTTTTATAATGCATGTTACATGTAAAATTACACAAGGGGGGCAGATTGGAATTGCTAGTGCATATGATATCTATTAAACTAGGCTTAGACTTATCAGATGTTATTCAAATTAATTCAAACTTGAGCCAACAGAAAGATGATTGTGTCTAGTTCTAAGAACAGAAAGAATTTCATGCATGCATGATATATATTGAGATTTATACTCTTTATAATAGACATAACTCAGGCAAACTATTTCAGACACATGCATTGAGTTTAACCATAGTTTCGAACTAGTAATTGATCTTAGAATTAAACAAAAGAGGTTTCAAATGAAGCTACGGAAGTGTAGTTTCTAAAACAGAAAAAATATCTGTATTTGGATATATACAAAAAAAGTTATGTTCTTTTTACTGGTAGGGTATCTTGCTGAAAATTTCTATACGAAATTCTGTTTCAAGATAAAATTGACATGCAAGTCCTAAAATGTTACATGCAAGACCCCAGATATAATATAACTATAATTATTGATTTAACTCAGTTCTAACTGATGGAATGAAAGAATTTTTTTGGAGTTTATACCTTAGAACATTCTTTCCTCCTTTTCCAAGCTTCAAAGGACCATTTCTTGACTATCTTTGAGCTTTCTCTTCTTCCACAAGGTAAGCAAGGGGTTTAGGATGAAAAAAATGAATGAGAATGAGGGAATAGAGGAGGGTTGTTGTTGTCAAGAGAGTTGGCCAGATTTAGAGTGAGAGAGAGAGAGAGTGAAATGATAGGATTCTCTTGGAAGAGTAAGAGAGTTGAAGGGTTGAGTGTTTGACTAGTTTTTTTTCTTCTTTTTCCATGCACAAATCTCTTGCAATTATGAGCTTTTTGAGGGTTTAAATTGTAAAATCCTCCCATTAACATGGCTGACCAAAATTAAAAATTATGTTAATTAGAGGGGTTCAAATAAGGTATTTAACAATTGGGTTATCTCTAATCAAAGTTTAAAGCATGGTTGGCTTAGGTTTACATGTTAAGCTTGTATGCATGCTATAACTTAATTAAGTAGATCATAATATGAGAATTAGCTAAGTTTAAATCCTCATATTAGAAGTAATATGAGAATTAGCTAAGTTTAAATCCTCATATTAGAAGATTATATGGGATACAATTAAGGAGAGAATTTACTGATTTATGGATCGGTATGGGTAACGGTATCCGATCATCGGAAGGAAAATTTTGCAATGTTACATCTATGTAGCAATGTACGGCCCAAAGACCCAAAATGGAACAATCCATCATCAAAGATGATTAAGGGACCCAAAAAATTAAGTGTAACCCTCCTAAATCACGTATCATCTTTGCAATATAAACAGAAATAGTTCTGCAAAATTTTATTAATTTTTTTACCAAAATTCTAGCTCTATGAAAATTTTAGCGAGATTCTAGTAGGCTACTTTCCCTAAGTAAGATTCTATAATTTATTAGTGATCAAAAATATATATTCTTTGTTAAGTATGCTTAGACAACAATGTAGGACATTATGTTCTCTATGCAAATCATCCAATATAGCACTTTGATTTTTACAGCATATTCCCGATATTTCCTCGGTGTCTACAATTTGATATGGATTTTGGTCAACGATATTTTTCCTATATTCGATATTTAAAATCTTGGTGGAAAAAAAAGGATGGGTTGTAGTTAATTGTGCTTGGATAGACAACAAGAGGAAGAGAGGATATGATGTAATTTGTGTTTGTTTATAGGAATAAATAGGAAGGGAAGCGAAGCTTCGTGACCAGTACACTCTTTTTGAAGAAATAATACAATTTTCTTATACTGAATTTTAAAGCTCCAACCTCCATTTAAGTTTCTTTTTCCTCGTTATCTTTTTTCATCTTCATTTTTTAATCGCATACTATTTTGCATCACCTTAAAACCTCCGTTCTGTTCATTCTTTTCAGATATAAACCATTATCTATAAGAAAAATAACAAAAAGAAAAAGTTACTATCCACTATAAACATGTAATCAATGTTGAAAATAATGATAACCATAATGTAAAGCTCACCTTCCGATAATGTAAAATGAAACAATGTAACACATAAAATAGATTACATGTTTTATTATTTATTTAAATAATTAATTGATAAAGATCGTCACAATGATTTTAATAATAGAGTCATCACCTTTGTTAAATATAACATGACAATTATCAAATATATCATAATTTCTCCATAAAAATATGTCATAAATCATTAACAACCAATCTACTAGCACATGTAGTTCATGTTTAGAATAAAAGAAATTTAAAGAAAACACTATTGAGTCTTAAGCAATATTGAATATTATACTAAGTCTTAAGCAATATTGAATATCATACTAATGTATAATTTAAGGCGACTTGATAGCTTGAAGCACAATTAGGGATGCAAAACTGTTTGAATTTTTCCTTACATATTTGGCTCACTCTTAACAGTACTTTCCAAAAAGATGAGAAATAATTAACATTTCTCACCTACTAATGGTGCAAATGTATCAAATATGATCATGTATGATACTTACAATATCCATATATTGTTACCAGTTACGGATACAGATTCAAATATGGATATACTTCTGTGAAATGTAATATCCATATCTACAACAATTGGAAACAGACCCAAACCAGATATAAGAGAAATGGATACAAATGTGGTTCAAATATAAAAAAGAAATGAATATAAGAACAAAACCAAAATTACATTTCTTATTTTCTGCCAACCGTCTTCTTCATGTGTCTGGACTCATTGACTCTGAAAAATAAAGGGAATACAAAAATGCAACACAATAGCAATATATAGATCCTTTACTAGGCCAGCCATCTGATGAATACAAATTGAGGGTAGACTGAGGTAGTTGAAAGATATAGTCAAATAAAGATATCGGAAAGTAGGGTGCTCCATCTCCAAAATCGTGTCAAATCAATATATAGGTAAGTCACTGGGCCATCAACCTAAAGATCCATTTATAAGCACACAAATCCCTGGCCTTATGGAAATGAATACAAATTGAGGCTAGACTGAGAAAGTTGAAAGATATAATCAAATAAAGATGTCGAAAGTAGGGTGCTCCATCTCCACAATTGTGTCAAATCAATATATAGGTCAGTCATTGGGCCATCAACCTAAAGATCCGTTTATAGGTACACATATCACGTGGCCTTTTGGAAATTGCTATAGGAGTCATCCAAGTAACTTGAAACCCATTATCCTTACCCGAACATCCGAATTTCAATATGGTTTTATTCAGCAAAACTAGATCCATCTCCGTATCCGCTTGAAAAATGAAAAGCGAATCCTGACTGATCCAGATCCGATCGGTTTGGGAGTTCAATTTTCAAATCCGTAACAGATTTAGATATTGATTCAGATCAGTTCATATAAATCTGAACTGTTTTGTATCCCTACTCTCCACCAATCTGATCTAGCCAAGTAATACTAATAACGATTAATTTTTAAATTTCATTAATTTCCCTACTCTCCACCAATCTGATCTAGCCAAGTAATACTAATAACGATTAATTTTTAAATTTCATTAATTTAACTAAGCAGCTATGTATGGAAAGATTAAAGTAATACTAATAACGATTAATTTTTAAATTTCATTAATTTAACTAAGCAGCTATGTATGGAAAGATTAATCATTTTAACAAAACTGAAATGACAAGTATTCATTTAAGGTTAGAAGGGACACAATTGAAAGGCTACTACAATTTAGAAGGTTAAATAACTATTACTATGATTTTTAGGGCATATATGGAAAAATCTCTTAGTATTATGTTCATTGATGTTTGGATAATTTATGTGTCGTATGGAAAAATGGGAGATGAAATCTCTAAAATTGATTGTTTTAAGAAACTTTTTGAGATTTTGGATATCTGTTAATAAAATCAAATGAGCACAGAAGCAGTAACACAAGAACCAACTTCTTATTGTTTTGCAGCACAAAAGTAATATGGAATTTAGAATAATCATTAATCAATGATCAAACTCGGAGCAAACTTCTTATTGCTTTGCAGCACCCTTCTTGAGTCTGGTGTGTTAATCCACTATTACTAGCGTTCAACAGTGCCCTACCTGCTCCCCATGAATGCTCCCTTATACATTGTTTCTTTCCACTTTGGTATCTCGTGTATCTTTTTTCCAATCTTGTTCGATATATTTTCTTTTATACTTTATGACTCTTTGGTCTCCTTTCTTATTTGGTTTAGCGAAGTTTCAGTTTGGCATTTATATGAATACAGTAGGAAGTTCATCTTCTTTTTTTCCAAAAACAAGAAGGCAAGGTTAAAAGTTTGTAACATGACGTGTATCATATTTGAAATTGAAATGTAATGAGAAGAAAATGTTCTTTCAAATAAGGAATCAAATTACGGGTTAGTTACACGTAGGTCCCTGGTTGTATGGCTGTTTTGGACTTTCTACACCTGTAGTTTTATTGTTGCAGATAGAGCCCTGGCTTAAATTATTTTTTTAACTCTTTTATCCTCAGATAGGCTCAGTATTTTCACCTAGTGGCATATCTACCAACATTTCACCAAGTGTAAAAGAGGCAGAAGACCTGGGGGGTCTATATCCAATAATGAACTACAATGAAACTATGAGGTTAAGTTCAAAACAAAAAGAGCGTAGGGGGTGTATGCGCGATTAACCAAATTAATTGCAATTGGCTGGACACTAAGATACAGTTCAATCAGGTTTATTGGGAGTATTAGTTGGAGTTGAGTGCAACATGATCTGAACATATAGCCAAAAAGTGGGGAATGAGGCCTTTTAAAATGGAGTTGAAAGGGTGGGAATCTTTTCAACTAATGTACTCATTCTGCATATATTTGATTGACATCCTCTTTTGAGATAAATATACTCATTCTGTGAAAAACACTACTTAATATGCTGGTAAGTATATACGTGACCAAATACTTGCTACTTTTTACACACATATAAAGAGCCAAGTGCTTGTTGATTCTTTTAAATGAACACAGTGTCTAAAGTTGAAGCCATTTATTGAGCTTATCAACTGATTTTGAGATATATTTTACTTGCTGAGATTAAAAAAACAAGTACAATTTGATTGGTCACCAAATATATTCAAGAGAGATGGATTTCACTAGGTTTCAGATCCAAGATGGTGAAATTAAAAGAGGTAGCAACCTTTTCATGTAATGAAGAAGTAAAGCTTGATTTTTGAGAAAGACGGTATGGAGAAGCAATGTTGTTTCAGTTATCAGTATTTCTACAGGAAGTTTAGTAGGAAATAGTCGATCCTAGATTCCTAGGTAAAAGTTCATTGTAGCAAAATGGTAAATTCTATCTGTTCAATTGTGTTATACTTTACATCATTGTTTTTTTTAAGTTTTTTATTTTTTTTATTTTTTTTATTTTTTTTTTGTTACTTGTGGGCATGCCAGCATATACATCATATATTTCCTTCATGAGACAATCCTTACATCCTTTCATAGGACATGTCCAGGCCTCTAAACTGAGTTTTGAAGGAATTGGATTTTATTGTTTGTAGGATGGGCAGCGAGTGCATGTAATTGAGAGAGATTTGACAGAACCTGATAGAATTGTTGGTGAATTGTTACAACCTGGAGGCTACTTGAAACTAATTGAGCTGGGCCTTGAGGGTAAGGATTTAATCGCATCACTAATTCTTGCTTGAGTAAATTACTCTGAGCTCTTCATTATTATCTAATATTTGCAAATTGGCGCATTGTTCAATTGCATCTGGCTGTTGACTTTTATTACGCAATGATTTGCAATCTTGAGAACACTGTACACTAAACAAATATTTATTTTCCAGATTGTGTGGATGAAATTGATGCCCAGAGGGTACTTGGGTATGCTCTTTTCAAGGATGGTAAGGATACCAAATTGTCTTATCCCTTGGAAGAATACCATTCAGATGTTGCAGGTAGGAGTTTTCACAATGGGCGGTTTATTCAAAGGATGCGAGAGAAAGCTGCGTCTTTGCCCAAGTAACCTTTTTTTTAATTCCCAAGTTTTTATGTAATGCTTATGTTGATCCTTAGTCAAATAATTGTTTTTTTAAGTGAATATTAAAATCTGAAGTGAAAGTTGAAGAACTTCAGAAATTTTTCAAACTAGATTAATTTACTTTTTTTCTATTACTTCTAGCTTCCTTGATATGATCCTTCACATTCTTAGTATTTATTGATATTTTATGATTATTTACTATGTTTTATCCTTTTTGAACCTAAGGACGATGCCGTTTAATATATTTATGTGGCAACTTTATTATGGAATAATGCTCTGGTTACAAGAAAAAGCTTCCGGAGGAGCATTACTGACAACTGCTTTAGATGTTTCCATTAGACATAAAAATTAGCATCATACCTTTGGAGAATGATGTTTTTGTTTAAGGGGCTGTTTGGTTGGCTAAAAAAAAAAAGGAAATCAAAGAAAAGGAAACATATTTCCTATAATAGGTTCATTTCTTGTGTTTGGTTCACTTCTTAAAAGTAAGAAATGAGATGACATGAGATGAGTTGTTAACATATTATTGGATGATGTGAGTGATTTTTTAAGAAACAAATTTCATGATTTGTTTTGAGGTTGTTTGGTTGGCTAAAAAAATAAGGAAATCAATTATAAGAAATCTATTTTCTATAATAGGTTCTTTTCTTGTGTTTGGCATGTTTGGTTATTTCCTAAAAAACCAAAAAATAGAAATGAAAACCAAGAAATCTCAAAAAGTACAATTTCACACATTTTCATCCTTAAAACTCACCCACAACATCTAATAAAATATTATTTTTATCCAACAACTCATCCACCACATCTAATAAAATATTAATTTCATCCAACAACCCATCCATCACATCCACCACATCTAATAAAATATTATTTTCATCCACAACATCACTCAACTCATCTCATCTCATATTTAAAAATCACTCACATTATCCAATAAGATTGTGACAACTCATCTCATCTCATTAACATTTCATTTCTTTGTTTTCCTCCCAAAAAGCTAGGAAAACAATTTCCTTAAGTGTATGTCACATCATCCAATAATATAATGACAACTCATCTCATCTCATCTATTTTTTTATTTTTAAGAAATAACCAAATAAAAGAAAACAACTTAATACAAGAAATAAGTTTCTTATAATTCATTTCCTTATTTTTTCCGCCAACCAAACAACATCAAAACAAGTTTTCTTAAATAATCACTCACATCATCCTATAATAAGGTGACAACTCATCTCATCTCATCTCATCTCCATTTCTTTGATTTCCTTCTTTTTTTAGCCAACCAAACAATCCCAAAACCTATTTTTCTTATAAATAGGTTTCCTTTTCTTTGATTTCCCTTTTTTTAGGCAAACAAACAGCCCCTTATTTTAAAACTAAGAAAAGAGATGAGATGAGATGAGTTGTCATTATATTATTGGATGATGTGACTCATATTTAGGGAAACCCATTTCATGATTTTTTGTGTGGAAATGGATGGAAATCAAATTTTAATGAGATGAGATGAGTTGTCACCATATTATTGGATGATGTGACTCATTTTTAAAGATGAGATGAGATGAGATGGATGATGTGACACATTTCTTGTGTTTGGTTCATTCTTAAAAGTAAGAAAGGAGATTAGATGAGATGAGTTGTCACCATATTATTAGATGATGTGGGTGTTTTTTAAGGATGAAAATGGATGGAAATCAACTTTTAATAGTTTCCGGGGTCCTATTTTATTTTCTTTGATTTTAGGAAACAAGTATTAAACATATGACAGAAAATAAGAATAATAATATGGAAAGAAGACAACTAATTTTGTTGAAACCGGACTAAGTTAATCTATAAATGCCAACAGCTCTAGTTTTAGGTGGAGTGGACATACTGAATGGTTCTATTCATTAAAAGCATATTTGGCCATGAAAATCAATAGGATGCACAACTGGATGTGTGACTCCACACTGTATGGCCTGTTGGATCAATCTGCAGAAACTAAGAAAGTGAAATTACCCAGATTTAAATAATACTTCATGACTCTAGGACTTGATATGTAAGTTTTCATGATTAAGTAATGTGTAACATATTGTAGTTTATTTCTTTTCCAAGTGTAATGCAGGCTAAGTATGAACAAGTTTTGCATATTGTGTAACATATTGTAGTTTATTTCTTTTCCAAGTGTAATGCAGGCTAAGTATGAACAAGTTTTGCATATTGCTATCAAAAGACGTAATTCTTTCTTTTCCAAGTGTAATGCAGGCTAAGTATGAACAAGTTTTGCATATTGCTATCAAAAGACGTAATTCTTTTCTGTTACTTTGAAATGAATGCTTTTGCAGCATGTCATCTCTGCTTATTTAGTTTCTTTTTATCTGATAAACACTTCGTGGTGAATTTTGTTTCTTTAATATGATTGCTCTGACTTTTGCAGTGTCCAGTTGGAGCAGGGAACTGTAACATCTTTGATTGAAGAGAATGGGACAGTTAAGGGGGTGTCATACAAATCCAAATCTGGTGAAGAACTCAAAGCTTATGCACCTCTTACAATTGTATGTGATGGTTGCTTCTCAAATCTGCGGCGTGTTCTCTGCTCTCCAAAGGTGAAGAAAACAACTCAGCCTACAATATATTCTCTTGTTACTTATGAAGTCCTCGTCCACACCCACCACAGGTGATCTGGACGGTTGAGAGGTTCTAATATGGCTCTCATTGTCTTGGGTTTGATTATGGGCTGGGTTATAAAAAAAATTTAAATAAAAAATAATAATAAAAAGTCTTCGTCCACAATGGCCATTCCTTCTTTACTAAGGAGTAACAAAACATTAAATTACTTTATACAATGCAGGTGGATGTACCTTCTTGTTTTGTTGGTTTGGTCCTTGAGAACTGTGAGCTTCCATATCCAAACCATGGGCATGTTGTCTTGGCTGATCCTTCTCCGATACTATTTTATCCTATAAGCAGCACCGAAGTCCGCCATGGGCATGTTGTCTTGGCTGATCCTTCTCCGATACTATTTTATCCTATAAGCAGCACCGAAGTCCGGTGTTTGGTTGATGTACCCGGCCAGAAAGTGCCTTCTATAGCAAATGGTGAAATGGCTAAGTACCTGAAGACTGTCGTAGCTCCTCAGGTACATTTTAGTACGATATGCAATTTTCTTTTTATTGCGTGGTTTGTTTCTGTTGTCTCATAGGCTAATTTTGGTTGTGAGCACGAAGAATTCACGAGGTAAGGTAAAAGTAAAAGAGAAATAGCTTTCTCTTGTTTGTCTACTAGATAGAGGAAAAAGGAGAAGTTGGTGGTGGTTGGGAAGGAAAAGAAGGGTTATGTCATATTAGACTCCCAAACCTTTGTTAAGTCTATATTGGACGCCCAAATCTTCATATTTCTAAATTGGACCCCTAATTCATTAAGTTGTTTAAATACGACCCCCAAATCTATTAAGTTATTGTGAATATGACCCCTAAATTTGTTAAGTTGCTTTGGATGAGACCCTCATTTCAAACATATATGATGATTCAGGGGATCTAATATGGCACAAACCCAAAGAAGAAAGGAAAACATAGCGTCTCCCTTGGAGCTGCAAAAAATTCCCACTTGGAAGTGTACATGGAAGCTAATAAGTCACATCCTATTATTTCTTTGGAACAAAGTTATGCTTAATACTTTTAATATTATTTTTCTATCCGAGATGATCATCAAATCTCATAATTTAACAGCTTGTGATCATGGTACTAGATTTCCTCCTTCCTTATTTGCATTTATCGCGCTTCTTACATGTACGTATCTCATCTTTCAGGTCCCAGCTAAGCTGCATGATGCTTTTATTTCAGCCATTGATAGAGGAAGCATAAGAACTATGCCAAATAAGAGTATGCCAGCTGCTCCATATCCAACTCCTGGAGCCCTTTTAATGGGGGATGCATTCAACATGCGTCATCCTTTAACAGGTGGAGGAATGACTGTGGCATTGTCTGATATAGTTGTTCTTCGAAATCTCCTCAAGCCTTTGCCCAATCTCCATGATGCTGCTTCCCTGTGCAAATATTTAGAATCCTTCTATACCTTGCGCAAGGTAATCCATAGGATACTATAATTTTTCAAACTTGTTAACTTTCAGTCAAATCTCTTCAGTTATTTTCCTGTAAATGAAAATTATTACTGAGTTTCCAAATAAGAATATTTTGCCTTATTTGTATGATATGGTATATTATCTATGACTGATGTGATTATTTACTATAGCAATATCTTTTATTATTATTGCTTTTCTCCTTTGTTTATTGCGACTATTAAGTAATGCAGTAATATTGCAAAAACTTTTGTACTGGAATTTGGTTTCCTAACGCTTTGCGTTTTTTGGGGGGTTCAATTTGGTATATATTCTATTTTAGATTCCTGTACCTGGCGGAATGTTTTCTTGCACTGCATATAGAAGTTTTTGTTATTCAAGATAAAAAATTCACATGTTACCCCTTTCTTTTTGCAGCCAGTGGCTTCTACGATAAACACCTTGGCTGGTGCCTTGTACAAGGTATTCAGTGCCTCACCAGATCAAGCAAGGAATGAGATGCGTCAAGCCTGTTTCGATTATCTCAGCCTTGGTGGTGTGTTTTCCAATGGACCTGTTGCTTTGCTATCTGGTCTTAATCCTCGTCCATTAAGCTTGGTTTGCCACTTCTTTGCTGTTGCAATCTATGGTGTTGGCCGTTTATTGCTGCCGTTTCCTTCTCCCAAGAAGCTATGGATCGGTGCAAGATTGATTTCAGTGAGTCATCATTAACAATGTTATTGCTTGCTTTCTTTATCAAGACATTGCTATTGCTTGTTTATTTTTTTAGTTTCCTATTCTCGTTATTAACTTGGACCAATTTTCTTCTTTTCCTTTTATTTTTCTTTTATTTTTTTTATCTTTTTAAAGGCAGCTTCAGGGATCATTTTCCCGATAATAAAAGCCGAAGGGGTTAGGCAAATGTTCTTCCCTGCAAGTGTTCCTGCATACTATAGAGCTCCACCTGTTAAATGACAAATGGAAACAGTGCTCCCAATGCCGGGCGATTTAAGTCAACTGTGTCTCATTTGTGAAGAGTACAACTCATAATTCCCTATATTTGTAATGGTACATGTATGTTATTCGTTTTAACCTTGGTTGCATTTATCCTGGTTTTGGGACATCCAATAGTCATGTTCCTGTTTTATGCATGTCGTATTTGTATTTAGACGGTAATTTAATGCACGGACGATGTCAAGCAAAATTGTGGTTCTTGTGCTGAAGGTCTTGAAAACTGTACAAAACGCAAATTGATAGGACAAATTTCTACTGGGGAAAAGTTTTTAAGGACCCAAAATATGGGACCAATAGGGGGGACAAGTGAGGTGTCCCCCTCCTATTGGATAATGAGTTGGCCATTATTAATGATGGCCAACTCATTATCCAATAGGAGGGGGACATCTCACTTGTCCCCTTTATTGGTCCCATATTTTGGGTCCCTGTAGCAAAGCTCTATGATAGCTGATGTACTAATTTTATGTTTTCTAATTGATAGATCTTGGCTTAAACAGCAGGAACAGGCTTTAAAGATGCTGCAGGTAGTACGATAAAGGAGTGTTAGAATTGGGGGTGGAAACCAACCTCCAACGGCGACGAGGAGCTCTGACGAGCTCGGAGATGACGTTGGCGAAGTCGACGGCGACCCCCCCAGGCGAGCTCGAGCCCCGCAGTCCTAAACCCCCTTGACCTCGGCGTTTTGGATCCGACCTCTGCGTTCGTTCGACCT